CGAGCACCAACAAGAGGACAGGCCTTGCGGCAAGCGTGGGCCCGAGGGACCAGGGCCTGAACTGTGACAGGCCACGGGTGGAATGCTCTGGGGTTTAAATATTTTCTTTCCAGCCCATCATTTTTCCGTTGAGAAGTTAAAAACACTACGGAAACAGTTTACACAAAGATACGGAGCCTAACCTGAACCAGGAGTAGAATAAGGGGACAGAGAAGGTGACCACGCTTCTGCTCAGGAGGGAATGTCCAGCAGGACAGTGCTGTCCCCAGGAGGGGAGGAAACACACAGCAGCAGCCCTGGAGGGGACACCAGAGCATGTTCACCATCCCATTGTGCAGAGGAAACAGAGCCCAGAGAGGGAAAGCAGCTAGTCCAAGATCACACAGCCAGTCAGCCCGAGATCAGCCTGGGGAAGACGGGGAGGAGCCAGTGCCTAGCGGAGAACATGCAGGTGCACAGCGGGCGACGGCCGGCCGAGCACAGGGCACGGGGCACTAACGAGAGCTAAAACCAGGAGTCGGGGCAGCCCTGCCGGGACATACAGCTGACCACAGACGGTCACTCGGTCCAGGGCTTCCCAAACCCAGCCACGTTCCCTTCCTGTGTGGCTCTTTAGATCCCATCCTTGGTCTGTGGCCTCAGAACCTCGGGGCTGGGACCCAGATATCGGGGGTTTTAAAGGCTCTACAGGCGCGCCTGGGTGGCTCGGTCGGTTAAGCATCCGACTCTTGGCTTCGACTCGGGTCGTGATCTCAGGGTCCCGAGTTCAAGCCCCTCGTCAGGCTCTGTGCTGACAGCACGGAGCCCTCTCGGGATTCTCTCTCTCCCTCTCTCTCTGCCCCTTCCCAGCTCGTTTTCTCTTTCTCTCTCTCTCTCAAAATAAACAAACATTAGTAACAAAATACCTTAAAATTAAGTCTCACAAAATGAGACTTTTTAAAAGTCTCAGGTGACCTTGATGACCATGGGGCCCTGATTCAGACCATTCTGTCCCCAGAGAGAGAAGGTAAAGTCTTTTGCGTTGTTCTGAATAAAAACCATTTCCACTTTACAGACGGACACACTGGGGCTCAAGGGCAGTCAGGCCCAGACCACCAGTAAAGTATCACGAACGTTGCCGGCACCAGCCTTTGTGGACGGCCACGACGCACCAGCCCCGAGGGGTCCAGGCGCCTTCAGTTCTGTCCCGTTTTACACTCAGCGTCCCCAGGAGGCAGGCACCGTGAGCTCAGAGCTTTACAAAGACACTGAGGCTCAGAGAGACGTTGCCCACATCAGGGAACGCATTGTGTTTTCCTGTTTAGGCAAAAGCATTTCTATTTCCTAACGTCTCCCTCCGGCTGGCGAGTTGGGCGAGAGAAAGAACGCACACCCGTGTCCCCATATCCCCGTGTCCCCGCAGCTCCGTATCCCTGTGTCCCTCACGTCCCCGTATCCCCGTGTCCCTCGTGTCCCCGCGGCCCCGGAAGTGGCTGTGGTGTAACGAGAGCCTGCATTTACGGAGCACCTACCACGTGCCAGCCTCCTACTTCACATGACTTCACAAGTCCAGGCTTCAGGACAGCACTCGGTCACTCTGTCACAGTCTCGTTACTCACCCCCATTCTACAGACGGGGCAACAGCCACAGGGACGTTCAACAACTTGCCCAGTTTTGTAAGAAGTGACAAATCTTTCTGGCTCTAAGAACGCACTTTTTTTCTTTATTTTAAAACCATCTCTAGATTGAACATTTCTCAGATTCAGAGTCTATATCTTACTCATCTCTGTGAACCTAGTATTTAACACATTTTTCTCAAGAACCGTGTAGTTAGTAAAATTTCGATTATGGAAAAGCACTTAGGAAAAAGACTACTTGAAACATGAAGCGTGTTGCCACTGCGGGTTTTCCTTGTGTGACTATTTCCGAGGCGACAGGAGGCACTTTCACATTCCTAACAAAATTAGTGAACACACATGAGTTTTGGGCGTTTTTTTCACACGAGTTCTTAAAACAAGAAACTTCTTTCCGTTAACTTGAGGGTTGGTCTGAGTCTGTCTGCTCGGGTTTTGGAACAGAGAAGTCCAGGGTAAAGAAGGCAGAGGCCTTCAGGACCGATAAACAGATAATCTGGTCAAGACACCAAACCTCTCTTAGACACCGTCTCCTCATTTCTGAGCGAGGCGGACAGCTTCCTCCGGGACGGATCACCTGAGATCACACGCGCCGAAAGTACCCCAGCCTGGTGCACGATATTTGTTTTAAAACGGACCTGGGGTGCCTGGGGGGCTAAGTCAGTTGAGTATCCAACTTCAGCTCAGGTCATGATCTCGCAGTTTGTGGGTTCGAGCCCCTCGTCGGGCTGTGTGCTGACAGCTCAGAGCCCGGAGCCCGCTTCGGATTCTGTGTCTCCTTCTCTCTCTGCCCCTCCCCCGCTCACACACTCTTTCTCAAAAATGAATAAACATTAAAATAAATGAATGAATGAATGAATGAATGAATGAATAACAACTGACCTCAGAATTGGGAACAAAGAACGTAACAAGTCCTGGGGGCGGGGGTTGCCTGGCTGGCTCAGTGGGTTAAGAGTCCACCTCTTGATTTCAGCTCAGATCACGATCTCTCAGTTCGTGAGTTCGAGCCCCACCTCAGGCTGTGTGCTGGCAGCTCAGAGCCTGCTTGGGATTCTCTCTCTCCAGTCCCTCCCATGCACTCTCTCAAAATAAATAAAGAAACTTTGTAAACATTTTTTACAAAATAATAACAAGTCCTGGGGCTGTGACGCACGGTACAGCGACCACAGTGAACAGTGCCCACATCGCTTATTTGAAAGTTGCCGAGACTGGATCTTAGAAGTTCTCATCACAAGAGACACACTATCTGTAACTATGTGTGGTGACGGACAGACGGTGTGATCATCATTCAGCAACATATACAAATACCAAGTCATTAAGTTGTACCTCTGAAACTAACGCGACACGATGTGTCAATTATATCGCAATAAAACCGGGGAGGTGCAGAGAACATACATTTTTTCTAAGAGAATATTTTTAAATTGCATATTATGACCAGTTAAGGGCAGGGCTCAGGGGTAGGGGTACAGAGAGCAAGACAAGTGGGCCAGGAATAAAAAGCGGAAAAAGAAAAAGGGAGGCCGAGGTTGCAGAGAGGTGAGGGGACAGGGACAGGGGGATGAACCACAGAGCCAGACGCCCGCAGGAAGGGGGCCAGGGGACAGCTGTCTGCAGGGCCACCCACTCTGGGCTCAGCCCCTGCCTCCCACCTGCCTACACAGGCCACAAACCACCCACCAGAAAGTCAATCACTGCCCCTCCCGTGGTGCGAACACAAAGCCCTCACGGAGGCGC